CTTATTTTTCCCCACTTTTTTTTTGCTTTATGATTGCTCGACGGCGCCGCAGACTGGCAGATTGGTGGGAAAAGAGGTCCTGGAAATTATCAAACTTGTCGTAAAAAATATGCTCAACACTTGTTTACGTCGTCATACTCGGGCACTCTACTTTTAAAGGGATACAGTGGAATATCATGGCTTTTGACAAGGGTTAAGGAAGTTCTTTGCCTTATAAAAAATTAGTGAATGCTTAAAATATCGAATCTTGTTGGAAAAGGATCAAATAGCTTAAATTAAATGTTAAATTTTCATATTATATATAAGTTTATTGGAATGGCATATCAGTATTCAAAAGAATACAACACCTATGCAGTAGTTTCAAAAACCAAACAAATGATGGTATAATGTTCGTGGCCTCAGTATAATAACAAATTTCCCAACACGCTTTTCAAACTTTTGCATTTTCCACCGAGAGCGTAAAAGTTTCGCCTCGGTTCATTATGGAAAAACACTCCTGCCTTTTGTTGATGTTTTTGTTTCCGTATTTTTGCCAGTGTTAATTTTTTCGCTTCTTCCATTTTTAATGGCTAGCTCGAGCACTTTAAAGTTTTGATGGCCTCGTAGCGCCTTGGCAGCTGTTTCAGCCACGTTTACTATGGCAATTCATTAGGCTCAATTGCCCCGCTCCGAGCTGTTGTTATTTTCATGGCTGTTGTTGCAGTTTTTGCTACCCGCTGTTCCATTGTTGTTGGCCCTGTTCGGATAATAATGAAGTGAATTATGTTTTCACATGGCAAACACTTGAAGCTCAGCGGGTAATCGCTGGGATGGGGATATTTAGTGTGTGGAAGAGGATTAGCATTGGTCCAAATACACAAAACATCGACGAGAAATCGCTTAATTAACTTAATCAAAATATGGCGATTATGAGTGTGGTGCTCAGTTTGCTTTGAATGGCATGTCCTGCATGTCCTTTTGTGGCCATTGTTTGCCTAGTGCGTTTGCCCCAGCAAACAAATAAACAAGTATCCGTGTGTGTTTTGGTGCGCATCTCTTTTATTTGTATTATGACAGCCGTTCAATTGATGCAGAAATTAATTAAAATTTTCCCTCGTGTGTCTGTGTGTCTGTTGTAGGACTATCTGCCTGAATTGTCCTTTGGCCCAAGGCTAAGATAAATTACAATTTGCCAGGACCAGCGTTGTGAATACAACTGAAAACTGGTAATTGCTTTGCCTGGAATTTGTGTGTGTAAAAGCAGTAGAAATTGACTAAAATAAACAGACAATTAGTTAGCGGCTTTAAGCTAAGCCAAATATTTTTGAAATGTTTTGTTTCAGTTCTACAATTATTTCTAATCAGCAAATAAAAAAAATTTAAACAATGTGTAAGTATTCAATATAATAATAAGTCCATTTAAAATAAAGCTAGAAATAAAAGTAGATTTTGTCCTTTAAATATACTTGTCTCTTTTATTATAAACCCTTATTTCTTTTTTCTCTCGCATATTTTTGCAAGTCAATTACCACTGTGTTTCATAAGCTCCCAAGTAAATATTTTCTATTTTCCAGCTGGCTGTCAATTTCTAAAATATTTCTATATTTAATAGACTCCAAATTAATTCCATATTACTTTATTACTTGCTGGCCTGGTCCTTTTCCCTTTAGGAATAAATACCTTCGCCTTTTCAATTAACTCGAGTCTGGTCAAATAATACCTATTCTCCTGGCGCCGACAACGAAGTCGGAAAAGAGCAAAATTCGTAGCAGGTCCTTTGAGTTATTTGGGAGAAAAGTCTTAAAGGCAACCGCTTGGGTTCGTTCTGGCATCTAAAATAATTTAACCCTTTTTTCCCCACACTTCTAAAGTAATTTAATGCCTGAGCAACAAGGGAAGGCCCACACATTCCGCAGAGAAATGGCAAGTTTTCCTGTCTGCCATTGATGCCGCAGGGTTAAAGGGCAGAAATAGATTCGGCTGCTACATGGGGAATATTTCATGGCACTTATCAAAGGCAGCAACAATTTAGGTTAAATACTCATTAATATTCCGGTCTGCAAAACTTTTTTCCTACTCCTCCCATGGCTGGCTGCTCCTGTGTTTTTGCCAAATAAATTTATGCCCTTTGCTTTTGGCCGCCGCCAGGCACGAGGCCCAGGAATATAAGACAACCGAGTTGAGTCCTTTCTTGAATCCCAGCCCAGCCAAATAAATAAGCACACGCACATGCCGGCACACACACACACACACACACAGGCAAAAACATACAGAAGAAATTAATTTTGCGTAGCCTACTTTCTTTGGGGCCGTCCAAAAATGAGCGAGAGACCAAAACAAGCGGCCCAACAATTTCCCAGGAAAATGATAATTGCCTGGTAACGTAGTCTACAAAATGCATAATTTATAAATTAAGCAAAGTTGAAGAAAGTTGAGAAACGGAAAGTATGAAAAACAACTGGGAGCCGCTATGCGAAATGGCATACAAATTGGGCTAAAGGATGTAACAGATATGGCAAAAAGTTTGTAAAGATAAAATATTCCTAGAATTTATAGAGTCTATAAATAGAACAATAATATAGTTTTGGTAATTTAAATTCAAGATTCACCCTATTAATTAAAATTAAAGTGAATTTAGAATTTAGTTAGAAAAAGCAACCTGCACTTAATATAGTTTTTATGTTCAAATTTGCTTAGCTATACTTTTTATATTGACGTCTTATTAAAACCACTGAAAGTAGTATAGTTTTAATACTTTTTGCTACTAAAAGAGTACTTTAAAAAAACCTGGAACCCCTGCAGACAACAGAGGTACGATTTTATTTAGTCAAAGAAAAATCTTTACCCAAAAGTATTTAATTTTCTTTTATTGGATACACCGCACACACGCAGAGGAGCAGCCAACCCCAACCCACTAAAATGCCAATATATTTTTTGCTTGAAATTTATTGCATACTTTTCAGAGCTCGGGACGATGAAAAGGAGGGAGCGGGAAGGAGGATCCTGTCAGAGCGGGATAGAGATACACGGGAGCAGCAACACGCGTGTTGCCGGGATTTATTTATTTACTCCTCCATATCCTTCATCCTGCATTGGCGGATTTTGTGCGCTGATAAAAATTTTGACATGCCAAACGAGGGAGTTTTCGCGGTCGTTTGGTGGGGTGATTGAGGGGTGGGGGTGGGGGGATAATGGGTAGCCCGAAGAGGATGTAACAACAAAATGACAGGATATTATTCAATTGAATTCGTTTACATGCATGAACTACATAATAAAAATGCCCTTAACCAAAAAAGGAGAGCCAAGCATAAAGAACGCAAATTGAACAGCAACAAAATGGGAATGTACACACATATACCTACGGAAAATATGAAATATCTTTTGTATCATTTGTGGCCTGTGCCGAACTGCTTTTTTTGTGGGCCAACATTTACATATTCATTCCGTTCATGTTGGAGTGTGGGAAGCCCCTTATTAAATGCGCATATTTTATGCAACAAAAGCAGTCCGCTTGAGTCATGGCCCTGAGTACTCACTTGAATTCAGGCCCACGCCTCGAATTCGTACTCATTTCGGTTAGTTAGCCAGCCCGAGGGAAATCCCCGTTCTCGTTCCCTTTCCCTTTTCTTGCCAAAAACATTTTCCACTAATTTGCTTTTGGGTGTGGAAGCTGCGGAAATTGTTTTGCGTCTGGCATAAAAGTTTTCCACATACGAATTCCCATTTGATGGCTACAACTTAATGGTGAGATAAGCAAGAGTTATGAATTATAGTTGGCGAAAGTTTTTGGGGAGGAAGTAATCAATGCATTGCGTACAAGTATGTTTTGCCGGATGAAACGATTCTGGAAGTGCCTCAAAAGTTATCAGGCAGTTTGGCAAATAAATGCAAATCAGGAAATACGCTAATCTGGCAAATAAAGTTTAGTTACGTTTAGGATGGATGAGCAGGGAAAATATTTCAGAATGTGAAATGAAGCTATGAAGTATACCATTTGTATATCTTAATCATTTCATTTTGGAAATAAATTTTTTTTATTTTAGCCACTTTATTTATTAATAATGTCATATATTAATCAAGCACTCATTAATTAACAAATAAAATAAAAATCGACAGAGGTAAAACAATTTAAAAATGTATGTATGAATCGTTTACTTCTATCTATAACATATTTTTCAACAAATAAAATATAACTGGGTACAAAAATATTAATACCACAAAAATTTGCAAGAACATATTTTTAAATCACACGAAAAAATAATGAATAATAAAATTATAACTGAATCTATAACTTTTCTTCTAGCGGTTTTATACTTTCAAATTGATTGTGATTGGGAAACAAGATTGTCGAATCACAAATTCTATGTTTGATTGTTTTATTTTGCAAAACAATTTTAATGTTCTTTGAACTAAAATACATTTCGAAGTTCTTTGTGTAAATCATGTGGGCTTATCCTTGCTAAGTGTACTTTATTCTTGACTTGTCACAGACAACCAATCTAATAACTCCATTTACTTATCTATCTGGAACGAGACTGTCTGTAGAATGCAGATTTCCAGACAAACCGGCGTATCGATAAACCTGCATTCAGATGCACTCGAGCCTGACATCGCAGGGATTCCTTTGGGCCAGCTCGATGCTTTATACCCATTCAACACCTGCCGGCAATCATCATAAATATGCCGGGCTCCCAAAACATCTCGGCCAAGTGAGTTGGATGAGTTAAATGCAACTCATTACGGGATCGCACATCCATACAAATGTCATACATTCACGAGCGAGCACTCCTCTCTGTTGAGCAATTTTCTATGGAATATTTGCAATTGCAGGCCGGCTGAATTGCACTTGAGTTGCACCCCCGACTACACCCCGTTGTGGCCCACTTAACCCGGAGGTTGTGGCAGCTGCACAAACAGAGAATGCCAGGCAAACACCCAGAAAGGAAGGAAGGAAATCCATGACCAGGATGGGTTTTTTATTCAGTTTGAGTTTTATTTCATTTTTTTTCCGTCGAGCTTACCTTGTGCATGGGTCCACTTGAGCAGGAAAACGATGAATACGAAACGTAAATCCATTTTACAATTTTTTACAGTATTTCGCCTTAAGATAAACTGGCTAAAAAAGCGTAGCACGAGCATTTATTTGCCCTGCCCCAGACTAACACACACACTGGCACAGACACACACACACGACTCCCACTGGGATATAGATATATATATATATTCGTGTTGCTTGATTTTTGCTCTACTTCCTTGTACAATTCTTTTCGCACACAATTCGTTACATTTCCCCTGGAGTTCTCACAATGTTTTTTGCGGCTTGAATGCTTCCGCTTGCTTTGGGCCAGGCCAAAAGTGGCCAAAGTCTAGCCGGCCCATGTCCGTGATATCAATTAGCTGGTTCCGAGGAAAGTCGCACTTCGTTTGTTTATGTTTGCTGCCAATCGCCCACGAAGTTGGCCCCACCAAAAAACGCCACAAGAATCTCGACACGCGCTCACTTTCTTCTTGCAAACCGTTGGCGGCAGTAACCAAAACTCAACTGAACGGCGTGCGATGCCAAAGTAGATATGAGGGTTCCTTAAAACCGGAGACCGGGAACAGTCCACAGCAATGTTCGCTGGGTGGTGAGTTCCGCACTTCGTTGCGGCTCGGGTTTTTCGTACTTCGCATGGGGAAATCGAAGCGGACTTTTCGGAGTAAATTCCTGCAGGGAAATCAGCTGTTTCAGCGCGGGGAAAAGTCGAGGAAAGAGCGGCAGTAAAAGGATGTAAGGGAACTTGGCCGGGGCTAGTGATAAGAATTTATTATCAAAAGGATAATCAGTTTGCATTTACTTAACATTGTAAAGCTGGAAAAATAATATAATATTTTATTAATATATTTTATAAATATTATAAAAAATGTTTTCAATAATTCAATGCTCATTTTAGATAAGTTTCCTTTGGTTTTTAAACAAATTGTATTTCTTATCATGAATACAAATTTTTAAAAACCTTACAACTAATTCATTTAATAATAATTTGTTTGGTGACTTATTTTAGGTAAGTTCAGTCTTCTAATCTTATATTTTCTGGTCCCAGTCAAGTTTGTTTATCATCAGACCTGAGCATAAACATTTGTTGCTGAATCCTGCCGGCAAAAGTGGTGAGTCTGCGCATTAGGCAAATAAACAAATATTTCGGAGTTACAACCGGAATTCCTTTGCTCTCTGACTGCTTACAAAAAATATGAGAGGAAGGTGAACATATTTATAGAGAGAAAATGGGAGTCAGGGAAAGTAACGAGTAAATTTTGAATTTAAATAAATAACCGTTGGATGCCATTGCACTTGTGGGTATTTCATATTATACTTTAGCCATTCATTTTAACAAATCCTATGTAATATTTTTCTTTTGAATAAACAAAACTAATATCTTATTGTTTTCATCTGCTTAGAAATGATTAAACTCAAACATTATTTAGACACTTTTTATTTTTACCCTTTTTAATTAAAGTTACCCTTTTTATATATTTTAAACTTATCCTAATTATTTCCACTTTATTAAGCTATTATTATTATCTTTCTATTAAATTAAATATTATAATTAAATACATTTTCTTACTATTTTAAGTCAATAGAGTGGCTTTAACAGCCTTTTACCTTACTATCACTCCTTTGACTTGATTTTAATGACTTCTGCCTTGGGCTTTGTATTCCCCGAAGGCATTAAGCATTTAAACTTCCTGCTAACCCGCATTTGAGGCCAATTTGCTGAATCGAACCAAACATCAGTGGCATAGTTAATTAGGAACCGACATCGTCGTTCACCTGCCGATGCACCGCAATCAAAATTAGCTCAGTGGCTTGCGGTGGTGCAGTTTGCTCCCTGGGAAACCCCATCTTGTACCCCATCTGTTCTAGATCGGATAAACAACAATTAAAACGCTACAAATTGCACATACAAACATCCTTCAAAGCGATGTCATCCCTACCCCTGGACCTCCGATAAGTATCCTGTTTTTGCTGCTCCTCCTGCTTTCCTTCGTTTCTTCAATTATTTCCGATTATTACCAGGAGAACTGTGGTGAACGGGGGGAGAGGGGGTACATGAGGTGGATGTTTGAAAATCCATGTTAATTGCTATTTTGCTCCCATTGGCTTTAAAAATCCTTGCAAGAAAACTAACAACCTGGGGGTCAGATTTTCCTGATTTGCCATTCATTCTACAGCCAGGACAATAACAACTCCGAGGGAATATCCTTGTTGTTCCCCTAATATACTTTCCTTTTGCTTTTACTCGTGGGAAAGCAGGGTGAAAACTGGGGGGAATCGTGGCCAGTCTGAAAGGAAAACCGAAAGAGAGGCAACTTGATGGGTGGGAAAAAGAAATGGGAGGACTGAGAAATTACACTGACGACCCAGTAAAGTAAGTTCCGAAGATAAACTGCAATCGAAGGACGTTGACTGAATGATAAATTACACTTGACAATGGGCACCCCCACACACCCACACCCATCTGACGTGTGTGTGCGGATGTTTGTCTGAGTCCTGTCCAGGATTCCATTTTTTTTCCCCACAGCTGCCCTTCTTTTGCTCGTTTGTCATAAGTTTACTTTTAATATAAAAGTTTCCTCGCTTGGGTAATGTTGAAAAGTGATCATCGTGATAATTACACGGCTATAACGATGGGGCTGATATACAGTGGGGCGAAAACACAGGGGAAAAGCAAAATATATGTAATAAAATGATTGTAATTATAAAAAAACTAATTTTTAATAATAAAGTGGTACGAAATTAATTGGTTTTCTTAATAAATTATTAAAAGAAGTTTAATTTGTTTTCATTTACAAAAAAGTTGCATTGTACAATAAATAAATTTAGTAGTAAAGTAGTAAAGTTCTTAAACACTATTCATTTTGTATTGGTTTTTGTGAACTATAAAATTTTAAATAAATATTACCTATGTCTGAAAATTAATGAACAGTCTCATTTTTATTTCTTCTACAAAAATTAAATGAAATAAAATGGGTCTAAAAACTATACTTCTCAAACTTCTGATTTATGACAGCACTTAAGCACGCATTTGTTTAATTTAAAATGCATTTATAAGCAGATATACCGCTGTCAACCCATATTTCATGGAAAGTTTGGAGCAGTTTCCGCATTTCTCGACACCTCTCCAGTCACTGTGGTTTTCCGCGTCCCCGAAGATTTATGTGCTCATGTGGTCAGAGATACGAAAAAGCAGCGAAAACCCCCCGCCAGGAATTCGTCCAATTCCCCCAGTTTTCGGTTTCTTGAGTGTTGGGGACCTCGAGTGTGTTTGTCAGCTGGGTGGAGGGGGGTGTCTTGGTCCAGTGGGTGGTGGCAACTGGGCGGGGTAATTATGATGTGGGTGGCAGCTGCTGCTGTTGCTCGACAGGAGAAGAAGCGGTAGCCCAGTTTCACTCATTAAGGATATCCGTGCAGGAAAACAATGCCAAAGCCAGCACTCTCCCGCAAACAAAAGCCGCTACAGTGTAGCCGCAAAGGGAGAAGGCAGCCAGCTTTTCACCCGCTTTTTCCCCCGCTATTCCCCCGATTTTTCCCTCGCTTTTCCCACCCCCAACCCTTCACGTAATGCATTTAGTGGCTGCGGTTTTTGAGCTCTCACAGCTCGCATTGTTTGCTCTTTGGCCTCGCCTCTCGCCCCCAGACAAAACAATACAAATTTATTTTTCCGCCACGCCCCCAGCACCCACAAAGGGGGCGGCGGAAGAGATTCTTTTCAAGCAAGGCGAAGCGACGGCCCAGAACTTGAGCAGTGCACGGAAGTTCCGGTTGAGCCGGGGTCCTTCCTTCTTTCCCCTTTTCCCTCTCCCCTTTTTCTCTTGGCCAGAAAACTTTTCAGCCAGGAATTATATCAGAAAGTTGAGCGGTGACAGGGGCGGCAAACGGATGCTGGGGGGGGGATCGGTGCCAAAGAATGTATAGCACAGCCAAAAGTGTTAATTCATTTGCCTTGGCATAATTTTATTCATTCGGGTTTTGCTGTTGAATTAAAAGTTTGGCCAGCAACTGGCATAACAAATTATAAGAAAATTGTACGAGGTAAGTGCTGGAATCCATGGGGAATTATTTATGTTGGCCCAAAAAAGTGTTTGGTAAACATGGCAAGAAACTGTGGGCAAAAGGTCAGTACTTAAGATTTAATTTGTAAGTCTCTTAATTCTTATTAACAGTTTTAGGGCTGGAAACTTTCAAAAATATTGACTTGACAACAATATAATTAAGTTGAAAGTATTTTCACAACAATTTACTCTTGCCCTATTATGCTTTATAAAAAAAAAAGTATATCAAGGTTCATAAGGTGAACTGAAAATGTTTTAAATTATTTAATGAAAAATATAATATCTATTTATTCGATTAAATTCAAACATTAGAATAAGGCACCTACTTTAAACATTTTTTTTATTTGTCCATCGGCCTTCTGTCAGACAATAAAAAAAAGTATTAGTAATTGTTACATTTTTTATTGCAAAGTTTAATACTATTTATATTTCACCGACACCATTTAAGGACATTGCAATCAAATCAAAAGTAAATCTAAATGTCCAATACTTCAGACAAATGATCAATGGGCAAATCACTTAGCATAACTCAGAGAGGGAAATGCAAAATGTTTTTCCGCTCTCTGGCTGCCAGGATGTGGAAAAGAGCTTTTCCAACTTTGAGTGTGATTGATTGCGAGGGAGACGTAATTGAAATACCGCCGAGTTCAACGCAGGGCGACGGAGGGATCTGAATAGACAGTGACAAAAAAGGGAAAGTTTTCACTTTGCTTTTCCCCAGAGTCAAAACGCAAGTTTTACCAGACGGCGAGCAGACACTGCCTGTCATCCTGTATCCACAAGATGCATATCCTTGGCGCAAAATCATAAATAAAAGGTGGAGCATCCGAGCGAATGCAAATGCGAAATCAATCCGAGACTTGGCATTAAAAATGCAACAACGTGAACACAATGAAAGCGAAATCCACACTGAGACAAATCATAAAAAATAAGAGGAGGATGGAGCAGGAAAAATTGCTAGACATAAAATACATCAAGATAGGAACATCTGGGGGTTGGTTGCTGCCACTTAACTGCAACAAATCGCCAAATAAGTGGAAAATATTGCAGGCCACAGAAATTGCTACGTCTTATCTCAAACTCCGCACACTCACCGGGCAATAAGTGGCTCAAAGACAGAGAAACCAATTCCGATGACCTCTTTAAATATTAATACGCGTGCTGTGATTGCACTGGGAATTGTGATTGACTTTTTAGACCCGGCCAACCCCCGTGCAAGGCGCATCCTTGACATTTGAGCTACCCCCAGGTACTTGAGCAGCTAAATGCACAACCCCCGAATCGCAGAGTTCCAAGGATTCCAAGGAGAGACAGGACGACTCCACTCGAAGGTCCCTGGAGATGTCTTTTTCCCCCCAGCCAGCCTAAGAAATAAACTTTGCACTTGACAATGTCTGGCCTTTTGTGAAGAAGGACGAAACCAGTTGGCCAAAAAGGTGGCAAAGTTTTTCAA